TATTGCATTCCTTTTCAAACGACCTAGATATTTCTTTATAAGAAAGAAAATTTTTATCATTTTTGTTTCGTTGATATCGATAAAACGCTTTATTTTTATCACATAGCATCAAACGCAACTTTTCATTGAACCAGACTTTAGCTCTAGAGGACACAGTTATTGTTTTATGAGGAATAACGGAATGTGCAATATCAAGTATTTTATTTTGTACTAAACAAACTGCATCATCTAGAGAACTGTCACGGATCAATGAATACCAATCTATATATGAAAGTTCCGAGCGATAATTATCCCAATCAGTTACCTTATAATTATATATGACTCGCTGAGTTTCTAGAACAGGTTCCGAAGAACAGTTTATTTTGGCCTTAACGATTAAATGATCACATGTAGTACATAATTGAGGTAGTAGCTCTACTGATTGTATACATGTTAAATTGTCGACAAAAATAAGATCTAAACATGTATCTGATTTAGGTCGCGTCGCTTTATCAACTAGTTGAAGTAATGCCGATTTATTGGCAAATTGATATATGTGCGAGCCTGCTGAAGTAGTTTCTTTGGTTGAGTTGGGGTACCATAGCTTACAATGAGCATTAAAGTCACCCATGAAGATTAAATCACTAAAATGATAACTAGTACCAGTTCTAACTTCATCAATAACATCTTCGAGATGATTAGTAAATGAGTCAACATCAACCCACTTAGGCCGATAACAAATAGCTAAGAACACTGTTCTATATTTTGATTTTATTTTAAAAAACATTGTCTCAAAATTTTGTTTCTCTAATTGCATATATCTTTGAGCAACTATATCATTACTAATTTTTAGATACAGACTCCTCATCTTCCACTACCCGATCTTATTTTTCAGGTAATAAATAAGTTTTCTCGTTCAATTTCACTAGAATACTTAAATTCTTGAATGTTCTTTTGCAGCAACTTCAAAAAAAACAACTTCTTCAGTTTTCTTCAATGGAACAACTGATTTATTGTACTTCAATCGTATCAATGACAGGTAAACATCATCATTATGAATCACAATTTATTTCACACATTTTCCTTTTTTTCTTCGTTCAAGAGCATTATCGCAATCTCGAAATTATTTTAATTTATCATTAAAAACCAAATTATTATTTGGTCTCATTTTTTATATTGGACAATTGAATGACACACATCCTGCATTGTATGATCGTTATTTATCATTAACAGTAAATAACGGATATGTGGAATTTTCATATAAATTACAGAGTAACAGAAATGCAATTATTCTCAAATCTAAACAGCGAATTGATGATGGACAATGGCATCGAATTGAAATAAGAAGGTAAACAAGAATAGTTTGATTTGAAAAATTCATATCTTTTAATGTTGTGTTTTAGAATTGCTCGTTATGCAACGTTGAAAATTGACAATGAAAATCTTATACAAAAAATTGCCCGTAATATAAAAAGATCAAGTAATTTAACGTTTGATTCAGATGGTTATTTATATATGGGCGGTTATCGTCGATTATGTGTACATTATCCAGAACACTATTGTCAACCATTTCAAGGTTGTATACAAAGTTTTCGAATTGATAAACGTCATTTAAATATGATTCAAGATGAAAAAAGCATTTATACTCTAAATAAAAGACAAACAATTCGAACATGTGAAATATAGTTAACAAAATAGTTGGTCCACTTTTATCAAATTATCATACGATATATTTTTATTTTTTATGTAATCTATATAGTGATAGTAAATATTTTTTCTTCTGTTTTTTTCATTTATTTCTTAAAATTATTTTTAAACTTTTTTTCTTATTTTTGTCACTGTATGGTTCTTGTTCATTAAAAACAATTTGTTTGGTTCTTATAGATAAACATCAAAAAAAAAAAAGAACTGAGAATTTTTCACAAGATTCTAACAGTAGCCAAATTTTGTTTTCGTACATTTTGTCAATCAAGGGTCGCACTATCAAACAAAAAAGATTTATAAAGTTCTTAGAGGGAGAAGAGACAAGAGAAGCGTCACAAGTTAGTCAGAAATGGGTAAAAAAGGTCGTTTTTAGTATTTTTGCCGGGAAATTAAAATGAAGATTTTAGAGATCGTAGAGAGTTGTGATTCGTGCAGAAAATTATCATCTAATATTGCTCTACAAGACAGACAGGCAAAAGATTTGTGTATCGTGGTAGATTTCAAATGGACGCACCCATCTGTAACTTAGAAAAATGAAACGAAGAGCATAATTTCTCAGTGACTGATGTTTTATGTTGTTACATTAAAATAAATAATCTAGTAGACTAATAAATACATATCTAGCTGTATGTTATCTATTTAAACCAAATATTTCATATAGATACTGTTATTTGATATCGACAATACTTATTTACATAAGGCTTAAGTAAAACTAACGTAAGTAAGCAAGAAAATCTAGCTACAGTCCCCGCTTTCAACTAGATAAAAGTTAAGCTTACATTTATCTAGCTGCATATTGATTAAAATTGTGTTCTAGTTGAAACAGTCACCGTCGACCAACTCATTAATCAACAACATCTAGTTGTACTTAATCGATGCTAGATTTCGTCTACTTTTTATATATTGCATTGTGGTAGAAGGAAACCAGATAAATGTACTTTTAATCTAAATACAAACGTCCACTTCCCGATCTATTTTCGTGTCTCGATAGTGCTATTCACAAGTAGAAAAGATATGACACATACATTTATCAATTATATGTTTTCTATAGTCAAATATATTACATTCTCTATATACAATGTAATAAGATAAGATCTTTTTTTTTTTTGATTTCCAAATCTCTCAATGCTATTACACGAAACACTATCTATTTTCTTTTGCGTACAAAATGCAATTTCTTTTTTCGTTACTAATTATTATTTTTTTAAATCATATTTGTCAACAAGAATAAAATCCGAGCGGTGATTTTTCTCTACTATTTTAATTTGTACCCGCCTAATTCTTGTAATTTAATCTAAAGGTAATATACGAAATATATTGAAATTCGGTTTGATTGATCATATTTTTCAAAAACACTTTTTATTTATATACGCTAATTTGTTTAACAAGATATGTAAAGTAGGGGTATTCTTTTTTTACTCTTAATTATTTTCGATGGTAAAAGAAATCACTAAAAAATGATATTTGATGTTTACATATACTTCGAATACGTTTGATAAAAAGTGAATTGACATGGTTTTTTCTTGTCTAAAAGATTTACGGGACTATAATCTAAATGTAACGAAATAAAAATAATAATATGATGTTTTCTTCTCTGGTTTGCAATTGCGGCCTATAGTGACTTTTTTTATTGAATTAGTCTTTTTTTCATATTTTTAACTTTCAAAAATATTTTATACTTATATTTACTGTGGAAAAAGACCAATGAATATTATAATTATCTCTGTAAAATTGAATAAAAACAGAAATGATTGCCGACCAAAGTTATTTTTTATATTTATGGGATTGAATTGGTCATAAAAGTATTGTTTGGAAATGGCTATTAATATATCTACTAGAAAATAGTTTTTCACAAGTTTTTTTCAGAACTCCTTGTTGGATCCACTCTCATTCTGACTGCCCACCTTACTCCGATTATTATTCTAAAAATTAATACAATTTAAGTTGACTTGACGTGTAATACGAGTGTGAAAAAGGCTATATGGTCTTCAGACAAAACTATAATGAGAATGCAGCGGTGTTGTGATAACTATGAGACAATCTATACCTTGCAACACATATTTATCAGTGTTTATCAAAGATTGTTTGAAGCACAGAAAAGTAATTTATTAGAGAACAGAGTCTCTGACGCTTGAAAAGAGGAGTTTAGGGTCGCTGCTCGAGGATATTCGATTGTATGACAACTTGCTCTGCCGGACTGATGCTCACTCGCATAGATCCTCGTGGACACTTGCTCATCGGACTGGTACTGAACATAGATTGCCTACATATTTCTCGTATTCATCGACTGTTTTTATTATTATACTATTTAAATCGGTACGAAGACGTGCATGACATTTTTTGCGAAATTCACATTTAGAATAGATTTTTTTGTCATTTTTGCCATCAACAATATAAGAAAAACCATTATAAAGAAGTAATAGGATGTTTTTCGACGTTTTAGAAATAGTGAGAGACATTTTAAGCAGTGAAAATGATAAATTGCTTGATTTACTCAATATGAGAAATATTAATTAGTTTAAACATGTTTTATAATCCATTTTAAAATTCCCATTTATAAGGAATTTTACTTAGTTTGAATATATTTTGTATTAGCATCACTCTGGAAGAGTAAGTTGTCATATGAGCAAGTATCCGCGAGTAACTATCGATTTTCCGAAAAGAGAACGTTTTCGCAGAAACGTATGTATCAACGTGGTTTTTAGCAGTATAGTAACATCCTATCAATGTTGACAACAGAGAGACAACAAGAAAATAGCAGATGAAAAGTTCATTTTACTGCTCAAACCCGATACCTAGATCTTTCGATACATCCTTATTTAATGTGATATAAACAAACAACATCAATCCTAGAGATGCTATTTCGTGACCCGTTCACTTTTCAGTGACCGTAGACACCGTTCTCTAATAAAGTACTTTTCCATGCTCTAAACAATCAAAGACCGTGTTCTTTTCAATTATAAACATTTTCCGTTCTCCAAAAACTGAGAACGGTACTCTTTTACATCTGATTCCATGCTCAAAAACCCTTTTTCCCGTACAGAAGTTTCTATCTCTTCCTGAAAAATTGAAAATCTTAAATCACTTCAGCCTTTTTTTCTCTTTATATTCTGAAACGTAAATTCTATGAATTCTTACTGCTCAAATCTTGTTTAAAAAGAGAACGAATAAGATGACTTGTCACTTTTAAATGTGTATGTATCCTTTGAAGAAGTCGATTATTTGTAAGTTTTCATGTGTATAACTGAGTTGATTTATAAAACATTAACCGAATCCTAAATGCTTGCAAATATCGCACGAAATAATTTAGTGATGGTTTATCTATTACATATAGATGTTCATTGTACACAAAATGTGGATATGAATTGAAAACTAAATAAGTCTCATATACTGTTTCCATAATTTATACATTAAATGATAGTAATAAAACCATACGTGTGTTATCTTTTGCACGACTAAACAAAGGCTGAAGTAAGAAACAATATACCGTCATTTTTGCACTTGTACTGCACCTCAACGGGAATCATTTCTACTGGTTTTACACAATTAAAACTATTACCGTTTCCCGTGAAATGGATAAGTTTTATTTTATTATATTTTTGTCGATTTTTTTTCTCATACACTTGTCGCCTTGATAATCTGAAGAATTAAGAGACGAAACGCATTTACTTTAAAGCGTGTTACATTTTACATTTTTGATTAAGAAAAAGAAGAACATAATCAACTTCACTCCATCGTAAATACAAATCAATCTTCTGAAATCTTCTCTCTGTGTGTGTGTGTGTTATAGAGCTCAAGGTTTTAACGGTAAGCCATGTAAGTAGAAGAGATTATATATGATAGTATTCAGATTAGAGAATAAGTCTCCGCACATATATAAAGAAAGTAACAAAATATTCATCATTTTTATTCTTACTTGTTTCAGAATTTTATCGTTATTTAGAATTTATCATATTCGTATCATCAAATGGATAACTGGTCATACAAAATACTGCAGGTAAAATTTTAAATTTACCTACGTGAAACATCATTAATATATCTGGGTATTCATATTTTTATAATATATAATTTGTAGCAAATTGTTTTTCGATGAAAGAATTTTTTATTTGAGTATTTTTGTCGCTTGATGTCAATTAAATCGCTCAATAGTTCATAACTCACAAACAATTTATTGTATTATATAAAGACGAATAATGATTTGCATATAAATATGAACAATAGACTCTAGACATATGTTCTATCATTTTTTGTAATAGAGATCTGTAAACTCATTTGCATATTAATCATTTCCTCCTCATCATTATAGGCGTTTACTCTTCGATATTTTGTGATACATTTTTCACCAAATTTCCGCTCTCTCACTCGTTATAAGCATATGAACTCATTCGTATGGAAAAAGGTAGGAATTTTACAAATGCAAGTTCATCGTTCCTATATATCATTAAATGCTTTTTTGCAAACAATTCGCCCATCTTTTTTTTCTTGTGCACCGGATAAGATTTTGTTTTGTTTTTCGTTTAATAATTTAATGAGTCTATGTCTTATACTGTATGAGATCGAATGTTTTGTTCAAAGGAACTCAACAAAAAAGTGTTCCTATTTCTAGAACAAATCGTAAATAAACGCATGTGATTAATAAAAAAAAATGTATATAATAATTTCATATATGAAGAAGTTCATGCGTATCTTAACATTATATATTCTTCATATTTTGGGTTTTTTTAATCTTTATTTTATAAAATTAGTTAAAGGCACTTGTTTTATCCCATTTCAACTATGAATACTGTCACAATGTTTAGTAGTTATGATTGACATCACCCATTAACAATATGAATTAAGTAGTTATGTATCACATGACATTTTATGTCATATACTTTTCTTCTTTTTTTATACAAATTTACTCATAGGTACATGTTTTATACATTTCATTTTGTAAATATCCAATTATTATAAAATGCATATTCAACATTTACAAATGTTTAGTGAAGGATTAAAGGAATAGAAATAGAGAGATATTCAACACACCAACTTTCTTCTTTTTTCCCATAATAAAACATGCGCACATTAAATCAATAGAAAATTAAAAAAGAAAAGAAAAACGACGATATCTCATTAAAAATATGTAATGTCTTTCGTTTTAGTTGCACCATACGATTCGATCTCTTGTTATGTTACTGATTAAAAGTACTCAAGCTATCTGAAAAAAATCATTTAAACATGACATAATAAGTTTTAGAAGTAATGAACGTGTAGATCTTCTAGTCTAGAGAGAAGCACACCCCAGTCAAATCTCTGTGAGTTTTCTGACAGAATCCGAGATCTATCCTACCAATATCCTACTAGAGTTTCGCTTTAATTTATTAGGATCCTAACAAAATCTTACAGAATCCGAATGAAATTAGATATATCCAAAAGTCATAGGGTTTTCTAAGATTCTATTAGGATCCTAAACAAACTTAACCGAAATCCTAGTAGGATCCTAGCATTTTAGGCTTCTGCTAGGAAAATATTAGGTGGATCCTAAATGTTAAGATCCTAGTAGGAAATAGACGGGAAGTGTGTTGAATTTTGTCTAGAGGATGAACTATAAAATTTTTTAATATTTGTTACTATAAGTTATCAAATCAAAGAAAAATGTATTGAAGATGATCTCATAGAAAATGTTCAATGAGCACTAAATTGATCAAGGAATGTTTTTCTTATTTGTAAAAGACTATTGCCTATGAAATCAATAATAAACATTATAGAAATTTTGAATGACATTATTTTCCATTTTTAACAGGTACAAAATTTGATAATAAAAAACAGGGACAATTTCGTCGTCAACGAACACATTTTACCAGTGAACAACTATACGAATTAGAATTAAATTTTACTAAAAATCGGTATCCTGATACGTCAACAAGAGAAGAAATTGCTGCATGGATAAATTTAAACGAATTAAAAGTGAGAGTAAGTTAATTTTCTATATATTTAATATATACACAAGAAAGAAAAAGATGAATACTAAACATAAACGTGTCAACAGTATATATATATACATATATATATCCGTTTATATTTAAAATAGTTTAATTGATTAAATAAACATATATACACATTCTTTTTCGTTTTTTGGTCATTAAAAAAGTTTCAACTAGGAATGGTACCATTCATTATTATTATTTGAACGGAAATAGATATTTCTCACTATTTTAAAAATATGCAAAAAAGAAAAGAATAATGATATACACACGATTTTCTCCAATATGTGATTTTATTTTCTAAATTTATTTTATTTATTTACTCTAGATATGGTTTAAAAATCGTCGAGCAAAATATCGAAAACATGAACGTCATTTTGAACATTGGTATAATTCAATTTCATCTTATCGTACATTCTTGCCAAATTCAACATTTACCGACGATCATTTTTGGTATCCAAAATGTGTTGATACCAGTAGTCAATATTCCTATAAGGCGCATAATTATACTTCAGCTTTAACAACATACTATCAAGAATTTCATTATTCTTCAATGAACAATTCTAGTAGAAATGACGATACTCCATTAATCTATCAAAATGTTATTAATCCATATTCAAGTATCGGATACGATTATATCAATTCGAGTGAAATAGTACAAGAAGATGACGTTATTTTTAGTTAAATATACAAATATTCTAAAACATGATATAAAAGAGATATTATTTTAAATTATTGTATTTTTCTCGTCTTACAAAGTTCTAAAAAAATCAACAGTATTATTGTATAAGTATTAAAAATAACTAATAGATATATGATTCAAATACGGATAACTAAAATAAAGACTAAACGGATATACTATTAAACATTTTCTTTTAGTACTTTATTCAAGAAACAAACAAACTTGACATTCTTTAGTCGAGAGAAATTAGTAAAAATTATTTTTATACAGAAATTATATACTTTAATTTAAGATTGAACTCATTTTTTTGTTTTTGTTTTGATCGTTTCTTGCATGAAACAGGAAAATTTCCCGTAAAATATTTTAATTTTTAAAAACAAATGATTATAACAAGAGGAAAACAAAAACACACACACACCACACCATTAAATTGATGACAAAACTAAGGAAACCAATTTAAAATATTCTATTTTTTGATATTTTCGTCATATATATGAGTCTATAAAGCACAAAGGCATATACGTCAACATAAAAACAATATATTTTATTTTTATTTTATTAATGCCAAAAAATGAATTTTATTTACTGATCACCTATCACAAATATTTAATGTGTCTGTGAAATCTTGTCAAATAAACACTGTAGACATAGAATATTCTAACCACCGAGTTGAATTAAATATAATCAGAATATTTTTAGGTTTCAAACAATGGATTATTTGGATAATGTGGTGATTGATAAATATTATTTGTAATATTTGTTTGTGTTCCATATATCTGAAAACTTGAACCATTTTGTTTTGCTTTATTTTTTAAAACTTGTGTTAATGGATGTAAATCATTTTGAATATAATTTGTATAGGAATTATTTTGTACAGGTACAGTAGATGAATAATAATTGGGTGTCGAATATAGAGGAGGTATAGATGATGTATAAGAATAGGTTGGTGATAAAGATGAAGATGATGATGTATGATGAGTCATTAGAGGTTGTGTCAAAGAGTTTACTGGTGGTAGTGGCCAAGGATTAAATGATGATGTTGTATGAGTTGAAGAAGAAGATGCAGAAGATTTTGTAGTAGTTGGACTAGGTGATTTATCGTTTGGTGTTTGTGTATCCCAATGTGAAGGATAATTGACAGCATAAGCTGATTGATAAACATCGAATGGTTGTACAAGACCATTTAAATGAGAAAAATTTCTTAAATGATCCATGTTTCGTTCACGTTTACGCCATTTAGCACGACGATTTTTAAACCAAACCTAGAAAGAATAAATGATATTTTTTTTGACTAAATTTCAATATTTGTAATAACATACTCGAACTTTAGCTTCGGTTAAATTTGTTAATGCAGCAATATCTTCTCTTGTGGCTAAATCTGGATATCTATTACATGAAAATGTTGCTTCTAATTGTTGTAGTTGTTGACTGGAAAAATGTGTACGTTGACGACGTTGACGTTTTTTTTTATCGTCTGATTCTTCTGCACTATGTTCATCTAATGGTGAACTGTTATTTATATTTGTTTCATTAGCTAAAAAAGTATAAATAATCAATTTGAAAATCTTTTGTTTCATATTTTTTTTTAATTAACTTACTCGATTCATATTTGATAATCGGTTTCTCTTCGATAAGTGATGGTGGAGATGTGGTACCGTAAGATTCATACGTTGGAAGATTGTTTAATAATGAATGATGTTGTGCTAAATAGTGATGATGATGATTATGATGATGTGGAAAATGATTTTGTTGATGATCTTGATGTTGTTGTAAAAGAAGTTGATGTTGATAATTAAGATGAAGATTTGTGTGATAGTCAGCTGAATCGATTAAATGTGGACCATTTATTTGTAACGGAGCATTGAATAATTTTTCTATACTATCATTCGGATTATCCATAGTTCAACAACACTAAATATAACAAAAGATATTAAAAAATTGATTGATCACTATCAAATGATTTATAGCAAACTATTCATTAAGCATAACAATTTTAAGAAGACTTCTGTTTTCTGCGTCGAAAGCCACATTGAAAAGATATATTTTCTTAAATTTAATTTAAATAATTTAGAAATTTAGATAAAGTAGTAAGCTATACTTTTTTCCCGTTGTCATTAAGAATAGTTAGTTATTCTCGACTATTCATGAAGAAAAATTAAATTAAATTTTTTTATATATCAAAGTCAATCTTTCTTATACTAAAAAAAAAAAAATTAGACGAATAAACGTACATGGTTGACTTATCCATTTTCAACGAACAGGACTCTGTGAAGTAGATTGTAATCAATCTAACGTTATATCTCGATCGACGAGATGACAAAAAAAAGTTGTACTGAAATTTGATTATTAATTTATTCTAAGAATAAAAGAACGATAGACAGTAAAGATTTTGTCCAATGGATTGAGACATGTTTAATTTGATTCTATCATCATCCATATCATTAGACATGTGAATCACTGACGATGAAATGTTCATTCAGATTTTTTAATCCACGATTATAGTAATTGACTGTAATCAATAGTTCTTTTATCATCTACAAAGATTTTTTTTTTTATATAGAATAATTTTGTTTAAGGCGGAAAGTGTTAATCTGAATTAACAATTATTTGACGAAAACAAGATTTAATGAATTAAATCCACACAAAAAATAAAATAAAATTCTTTTTCTTAATACCTTTTTATTTATGACAGCAAAGATTAATATAACGATGTGTGTATGTATATGTATGCGTATTGATTTGAAGATTTATTAGTTTAGATTTTAATGCAGTATGTGAATAATATTTAGTATATTTAGGATGACGAAGGAAGGATTTTCTTTTTGTTATTTCCTTTTACTTTTTTTTTCTCGCCTGATTTTCTTTTTCTTTTGTTGTTTGAAGTAGTACGGTGATGAAGCACGTGGAAAAGATTCTAATTGATGATAAATGAATTTGCAAAGAAAGAGAAGCAGAGAGAGAGAGAGAGAGAGAGAGAGAGAAAATAAAAAAAACATCACTTCTGTCTTTCTTCTGTCAACAGAAAAAACATATTAAGTTAAAAAATGTTTTCATTTTTAAAATGCAACATAACTAACTCAAATGGACGAATAGAAAGAAGAAGAAAAAACTTTATGCTCCTGTCCAATTGATTCTTTGAATGTAATTTATTTATTAGCCAATAAAAACCTACTTCTATGACTTCTGAAAAATTTAGCGTTCTTCCTCACGGACAATACTTAATTATTAATACTAAAATTTATACGGATCTCTACATTTTTGTTATTAATTGTAATTTTATATACACTTGATAGCGAACGTCTACATCAAAATCACGTAATAAAATGATACTTTTCGTTCTTTTGTAACTATTGACAAATATATATTATTTTATGATATATTAGATACATCTGTGTGCATTTTACATATTAAAAAGTATTTTTACAATATTTCGTCTGTGTACAGATTTTAAATTGTTTTTCAAAGGATTCATAGTTATCAATTTTCACGGTCATTGTATATATCATAATCAAAACTTATTAACGATAAGAGCACTTATCATCGACTTCTGCTCTTCTTCTTCTTTCAAGTGCCACTTGAGAATACTATTGAAATATGCTCAAAATAGATCTATAATCGGATGTAATTCTGATTTGATGAAAAAAAAATATAAGAACAACGAAGAGAATAACCGATTTTTGACTTAGTTACAGACATAATAACAATTAAATGTCATCTTTTTTTCATACGCCACTAGGCAAGCGAGATCAAGAGTTTAATGAAATGTATACAGTAGAAAACAGGTGTCCTTGCAGAAAGCACATTTTTTTTGTGATGAATTGATCACGGCTGTGAAACACATGAGGTATGATGTCTACCTAGACATATTTATTTACCTGATCCATCGTGTAAACATATATCGATTCTGTTTAGCATAGATCTAGCTTATTTTAACTGATTTATAAAGACATCGATAAAACGAATCAGTGTATATAATCTACGAATTAATTCCGGAGATAGCATGTAGTGCTATTGTGTTCTGTGGTACGACAGTTATTGCGAAGACACATTCTATGGTATATCCTCTGTACCGTTCTAGAAGACATTTGTAGAAATGTCAGTGTATTGACACATTCCCGTCGCACTATATTTTTTGACATGGCACAATCTAAGAAGGGCGTATTCTAGGGTACCTTTTTTTACAGTGAAAAATTTCTTTTGTTCAGTGTAAGAGACTGTGTAACCTCACGACACTAGTGTATTGGGAGTTGCATTGTTTATTTTTAATCAAAAACAATAACCAGGTCTGTCTTTTTAAAACTTTCATTTTATCAATGCAAATAGAACAAAAATGTAATTGAAAATTGGTTTTGCACCTATCCTGATCATCATCATCATGTGAACGCCCTTATTTGCTTGAACCGTATCGTTTCACATACCGATGAAAAAAGAAAAGAAATATCGTTTCATTTCTTTACTTAACAAGCAATAGAGTCGGCCACAGTTTGATGCGAAATTAGGGATTAACTCGCTCTATGTGTGTATGTGTATGCATGTATGTAATATGAGAATGGATTGTTGACAAAAAAAAAGGAGAAGAGAAGAGACGAAGAAATGATTATTATCAAAATTGGATGGATGACATTCAAATCTCAATTTGATAACAAAAAATTAAAACTGTGTCTTTGACGCTGATCATACATTCCAGTTTTAACAAAAACAAACGGTTTCTGACATGTCGTCTCTTTAGTACAAACCACTTGCTATTTAATCATTAATAGACATCTTCACGTACAATATTGATTATTTTTATGCATTATGTAGTGAGCATGTCCGAGATTATCGTAGCTTAATCTTCCAAAAATTCATTGTTATTCACTAATAATGTACATCATCAGTTGCACTGATTAAACAATTGAATGTGTCGGTAAAATGCAGCAGTTTCTTTGAGCTCCGTATTGAATCAAACTTTCGAGACCAGTTCAGAACGGGTCCATGCGTTAAAATCCTCTAGTCCATAGTCCAGAAAGGTAAAGCCCAGTTCACCCCACAAAAAACTTATCTAGGCCTATGGAGCTCAAATTTTAAAATAGACCGGTGCTTAGAATCTTAGAAATTGTCCGTATTTTTCAGGTAATCGTTAACGGCCCGTGAACTGGCGATTGAAGATGACATGCGTAATGGCGCATGCATTCGAAAAAAGACATCTATACACACACAGTCATGTACGATTCTTCGTGAAACACAGAGCTGCAGTCGCCTTTAACAATACAAAAACAACATATTTCTGATCGTTTGTTTCTCAACGTAAGTCTATTCTAGAAAATTATCTCTAGTTCAGTTCCTCATCAAAGGAAACGCTTTCATTCCAGTTGAAACGGATCTTTGGTACTTGTACTAACAAACGACTTAAGAAAGGATGATAATCAACAATAAGAGTTCTTACAAGAAAAGCTAAAAAAATATTTATCTATGCTAAATTACTTAAGATAGTTTTTCTAGACAGAAGACCGGTGCTATATTCTCAACAGTTATTCTCAAACTTTCAGAAAAATCTTTAACATATAAATTGGTAAGCAACAATGGTTAAAGAATCTATATTTAAAAGAGAGTTATTAACAGTTCTTAAAAAATAGTTGTTTCATTTCAGTGATCGAAAAAGAACGCCGCCTCATTACAAAAGTTTTCTCAAACCAAAGAGCATTGTTGGTGAGCTCAATCAGAAATAAGTAAACGAGTAAATCTAGCTGCAATGACCACTTACGGTCACATTAAGAGGTACAATTATCTAGCTACAAACTGGTTGACACCTTATTTAAGCTGAAGCAGTCGCTGCATCGGCTTACTTCTCGGCGTACTTCAATGCCCAATTAATCGACAACAGCAACATAGATTCAGATGCCCTAACTGCATTAAACTCCTCGAACATAATAGTGATACTTACGTCATTATTTCATTGTGCATCATTTTTTTCTCTTCTCACGGTTTTAATCAATCATTCTAACACAAATAAAATAAAATAATAGTAGAACTCGAACATTGTATCTAAATGAACGTGGTTTATATGTCAAGTCTACCCGAATTTGTTGTTTATTTTGTTTCATCAATTTAACATCTATTTAGACAAAGTGAGAAAAAAAGAAGATGATGTTCTTTCTAGACTACATTGTGAATAATAAGTTCATGAACCATTGTGTACACAATACATAATTACATTGTTTTAAACACTAGCAGAAAAAGAGAAAGAAGTAGGACATAAATGTCACTATACACAAATGAACCTCTTTAAAACACGTTTTTCTATTGACAATCAAACTATAGTCCAACATTTGTGGAGAAGCAATTGATATTGTTACGCTGACAAAACGTATAATAGAATTGATTTGATAAAGTTTTTCCATCATGTGCTCAACCCCGTAAACTATTTCATAATTTTCATCAGTTTTCACTTGTAAAATTCTCGCGTTACCAAATTATATTCATAAAAATGACATTTTAAAACGTTAGTTTTCTAAAACTTACTCAAGACTGTGAAGAACTGCTACATGAGAACTATGGCTAGAATAAGCACAAAATTGTTCAACTGATGATGACAGATGTTGATGAAATTTTCCCACTGTATTCAACAGCTTAAATTTAGAAAAAATCTAAAAAATGGAGACAGTTTTATTTTGCTCAACGAGATCAACCCTCTTTATTAAGCATATGTCTGAAATGGTGATTTTGTAAAAAGAAATTTAGTCACTGCTTTTCTTTATAGCTGAAACATTTCAAACCAACAAATTACATCTAGCGTACAATGTCTCTACTCACGGCTGTTGTGTGACAAGTACATTTCGATTTAAAAAGCGTTTTTCATCCAATCCTGTTTAATGCACCTTAAATCAACTTAAATGAACTGCTTTAAAGCCAGGTGTACTTACCTGACTCTTTTTTTTAATCAAAAGAATGTTTTACTACAAACTAAAAAGCTTGAAAAACTAGGACTTCATAAGGCCTTTGTGGTAATTTGATAAGCGATGGGAACTCGTCAGAAACAAGATTTGATTTTTTCTGCAACTACACATTCTCGGTGAGTTTGATGTTGCTGTATATGACTTTGTCCTATGGCACTGACGTCAAGTTATGAAAAATTGTTATTTTAGCAGGAAACTTAAAAGGTGAGAATAATAACGGTATCTAACAATCACGTTGTTTTTCTGAAAAATAGGATCTCTGCTAGAAATCTTTTTTGACAGGTGAATTTTTTCGTTGAAATCTCAATATGTTCCAACTTCTATTTAAAGAAGTGAATTAGAATCAGCTTCTCAAACCCTATTGGATAGTATATATTTTATTTATTTATGCTGTCAGTGATGAACTGCAATGCACACAGTTTGAATATCTTTCTTGCGGTTTCGTCCATGAACTCATATAATTTGTGGCTCTCTCCAACGTCCTCAATTCTTTTACAATACGTCGTTTGTTCTCACTAACTCTGTAATTATAGCACATGTAATACAATAATCAATGATTATAAAGCATAACATTCTGTATAATTTCTTGCAACATTAAAATAAGTAAAATCAACTAGATATCGTATAGTATTTTGCGCGATGCTAGGTACTTAGCTTAACCACATTCGCACGCCAGTACCGATTAAACAATTAAAGCTATCAAATTAGTTTTCGAATGAGTTTTTGTAAGTATTTTGATATTTGTTTGATAAACATTTAACTCTAGTTTCAATATTATCTTCCTTAATTTTAATCGAATTTCATGTCTCATTTTTTTATTCAACTCATAAGAGAGCAGCCTATGAGATATATAGAAATTTTTTCATGAATTGCTCATAATTAATGAGAATATTCAATAATACTGTGTAAATTCATTACCACAATATGTGTAAAATGACTTCAAAATATTTAGAATCATGGAGCCTGCTGATTTTGAGCTATTGAGCTGCAGTTTTCACATATGTTGTAGATAATGACATGACGAATATTTTTACTTGAAGAGTATGTCAGAAATCTACTTCTGAAAAGTACCAGAAGTTTGATTCAGAAAACTCTATATATTTGAACAGACCGGCCGGAATTACCCCACGCAAAACAGCTGACGGGCCAGAATTGCCCCAATCGAGAAAAATGAAAAAATCAGAAATCTAACCACGTCTTATTGTATTTTGACTAACTTCATTAGAATAGGTGCTAATAATTTCAAATTTGTATGACAGGTAGAAGAGAGGAAGAGTGTCAAACTGGTGTAATTTCTATCTGATTAGGACTTATCGTTAATTAGCACTAGTTTGTTTCAGAAAACTCCATGTATTTAAATGGATCGACTGGAATTACCCCACGCAAAATAGCTGACAGGTGGAAATTACCCCATATGGGGTAATGGGGAAATTTTGACCGGTTTGGAGGCCCCTGTCTCCTTTTGAATAGTGATCGAAAACGGAGGGATTTTTAGGAAATTTTTACATCAGGTATTTATGTACCTATAAGGCACGTCCAATACGTAGAGGGGTGGGGGAAGGGTGTACCCCTATGATAGATGTGAAATATACAAAAAATAGACAATTCGTCGCATTTTGGGGTGCCTAACGCGAAACGCGTATGAGATAAAGCAAGTTTTCAATTAATGAATAGCACGATAAGAGGAAATTATGCAAAATTACATAAATTAAAATGCTAAACAATTTATTTTCAAAACAAAATAAATGAGATGGATCATGACAAAACAGAATTACCGTTTTGGTGTACCAACGTCGATGTATCATTACATCATCTTAGAAAGAGATGAAAAGTAAACTGAGCAATAGGTGGTATCGGTTTAAGAAACGGACAGAACAAATAAATTACCGTAATAACAATGCCTTAAATAAAAAGGAAGAAAATAAGGTAGAAGAAGAAGAAGACAATAAGGACTCGGACAGATTGTGGATTTCTCAAGCAGAAAGATAGATCAAAATGAACGCTCATTATTGAGAAAAGCGTTGAAATTCATACCGACTCAACCTTTAAATGAAACTAAATTTGTATCGAAGCTTATAGCCGAGGTTGAAGCTGGTATTTATCGAAAAAGCTTAAGGGACAGAGAAGATATTGTTAGTGAAGTGAAAAGAGTGCTGGAGCAACAACTTGAAGCGGATAAAGAGAAGGGCTTTGAAAACTTATCTGGAATGCAACGGAAAGCAATCAGAAAATTAAAAGAGGATGAAGGTATTATCGTGATCCCGGCAGATAAAGGAGGCCAAGTAGTCGTAATGAACGTGACTGACTATATCAAGAAAATACGAGAAAAACTAGATACAAAAGCGTATAAACAGTTAGAAGAAGATCCGTCTAAATTTATACATAAAAAGCCAGAAGTGTTATTCTCAGAATTGATGTAAAAACGAGATTGATGCCGCTGAAATGGAGATGTTACTAAAGAATAAGAAAATACCATTTGTGCGAGGACAGTTAAAAGTTCACAAAGCAGATAAATCAATGCGATTAATTGTATCGATGAGAGACACGACGGGATCAGCACTGGCTCAATACATCACAAATATAACAAAGTCAGTAGCCGATAATAATAGAGCGATCAGAAATACCCAAGATCTAGTTACAAAGTTGTATAAACTAAAGATTAAGAAAACAAGCAAACTAGCCAGTTTAGATATAACTGATTTATTCACTTCAGTAGACCGTGAGAAAGTGATCGTGATTTTAAATGAATTGTTGGATCATGACGAATCGTAGAAAAGCAAAACTAGTCTAACAAAAGAAATTTTGTTAAGGTTAATTGAGTTTAGCATTGAGAATCTTATCTTTCGGTTTGGTAGTCAATTTTATAAACAAATTTATGGACTCGCGGTTTCATTTCTTGCCGATATAGTAGTGAATAATTTTCTGTTAAAAAATTAGAATTCTGAAAAGTATCCTTATATCGGATTAGCACGATATGTGGACGATATTTTGCTAGTTTTGGAATTAGATAAGGCACAAACTGAACAACTTGTGAAGGAACTGAATAGTAAGAATGATTTACAATGGTTAACTAACACTAATCAGTCTATAAAACAAAGCAAAAAAACAAATTTTCCGTTATTTTCCATAGTAAATGTTCTACACTCATTGCTCTATTGACAGCATACTGTCAGGTCCACTGGAAATCGCAGGTCTTCATCTTGTTCTGTTAAAAATTTATTAAAAAAGTGACTACGGCCACTGCTCAATTAAACAGATGATATAGATATATTACATTATACATATATACAAGGGGTTAAGCGATGTTATATCTCTCAGTCAGTATATTCCTGACACGTATTCACTTCTAT